CCCCCCCCCCCCCCCCCCCCCCCTATGGTACTGTTGGGATCCCCGATGACACCATTGGGAAAATGCATACGTTTTCAACGGTGCGCGACGCAGACCAGGTCATTCTCAGAGCGCTTGGGCTGACTGACCCCGAGCTTCTTCGACAATATGCCCTACAAAAGACGGCACAACGGTTCGGTCTTATTCTGCCCGGGAAGGAGACTGTGCCGCTGCCTATTCTCAAAATTGCTTCTGTGACACTGTAGTTTGTGCGAACAGGATGATGGAATTATAGGAGTTGCGTCCCTGATAATCTTTTCTGATTCAATGGTAGAAAGTGAATGCACTATTTAACTAGCCTTTCGACTTGGATATACCGCGATGTTGACCATGGATACTAATAGTCACAGCAATGCTACAGTGTCTGAGTGGATTGTGCACATATTGATTATATTGTGGTAGCTACTATGACGCCTCAACTTTATGCTTGGAGAGTAGGTATAACAGATTTAGATCCAGTCAACGAGGTTCACGGACGGATAAATAGAGTCAAATAGATGAGGAGTGTAAGTGGAAGTATGCCTCGCTGTTCATGACTGTGGATCTTGATGCTTGTTTGATATTTGGTGACAGAAGGAAAGGGGTCATGCTTACGGAGACTGAGAATGTTTGAAATATTATCAATAAGAATAGTAATCTACAATATAGAATGGTCAGTCCCTGCATTTAGGTACTCCATGGGATAAGGTCAGGAATAGTATTGCTCTGGTTATTGTTTGCTCTGTGTTGTTCTGCGTATCATCATAGGACAGCAGCTCGAAGCATGCCAGTGAGGCAAGCCTTGGGTAGAACTTACAGTACAGGTTCACAAGGCAGTATATCTCGGAATAGATATTCCACTACAAATGTAAGGTATGTCTATACCTCTATAAATTACAAGAATAACTCCGTAGAAATGAAAATCCCGTTAGGAGAAGCATCCATTGGTTCAGAGGCCTAACAAACTTGGAAAGAGCAAACAGTAAGGAACGAAACCAGCCCATCAGGCCACATATGCAAAACAACAATCCACGAATAAACTTATAACCAAAAGAGTGAAACGTATACAACAAGTGATGGGGTTGATGTATCATCCTCGTAACTAGACTCTATTGATAAAGGTTGCGCGGGGGTCGTACTCAGTTTGATATCCCAGCACCAAGGTACAATCATGTAGTATCACTTTGATCAGAAGAAGCAACATTCATCTCTCAAAGGCTGAACAAAGGAGATATAGATTTCTTGATAGAAGGCAACCGAAGCAACGAGTTGCGGCTGGAAGGTCTACCCACCGGTTCGGTATCTTGCGGCGAAGCAGGGGACACGGATAGCTGCTCAGAATCAGGAGTGCTGGGACTAGTAGGCTGCAGAACAGGCGTGGCTTTCTGCGAGGAGACATGTCTCAGTGGAGATGGCACCACGACAATCGGTCTCGGAATTGAACCAGCACGCCCTTTGCCCGAAGGCGTACGCGAATCGGCACGACCTCCTAGAGTCCGCTTATTCTCATAGGGAGGGCTCCTTTTGTCCGGAGAAGCACCGATAGAATCAAACGTCTGACTCGAAACATTATTGCCTTCGCAATACACGCGGGTCACAGACCCCCCTGTTTGCTCGACGACGTAACCCCCCGACGGTGCGTTATCACGGCTATACATCATCGATTCACGACTAGACTTGCTTTCGGTTATAAAGCAGGCATTCGAGTTTCTGTTACTTTTATTCACAAGTATTCGATGTTTGAAAGCGTCATAGTCTTTCTTTTCGCGCTTGTGGCGCTTCCAGCTTCTCCGGATCTTTCGGACAGTGAAGACGCTGAGGAAGATAATGCCTAGTACGGTGATGGCACCGAGGACGCATGCTACCGCCAAGGAGTTTTTTTGGTAATTCCAGTGCGGAACTAGGTTGTTATGGGTTGTCGTTGGCCTTGGAGATTCTTCCGTTGAACGTTTGAGGAGTTCGTCGATTCTTGTGGAAGGCGTCTTGATAGTTTTTGTTGGTTTATCAATGGTAGTTAGGGTTGATATGCGTTTCAATACTTTATAGCTGTCGGGTAACTGATACTGTAGTTCGTGTCTCGCTTCCCTTGTTTGCTCATCTGCAATGATTTTTTCCCGCACAATAGGCGTAGTTTCTGGTTCTTCTATCCAGCCCGATCGAGATCCTCCTCGTGTATACAGCATGATAGCCGATATGCTATAGCGGCCTAAGAGGAAGACTAAGAGTCGAAAGAGCAAAAGTTCAAGACTGCACTGGACTTCTCACCAGATGCGAGTTGATGGCACCGCTTCAAGTTGCATCCAACGCACGACTCCGAAACGGCAATAAGAATGAAGGATTCACATCTCAGTAAGGATCGATAAGAAGCTGAGTTGATAATATCGAACGATGGGGTACAGCTTGAGAAGCACAAAATGAGCGAATGGATGCAAAGGAGCAAAGTAACAAAATGAGCATCATAGACATGATCAAGGCTCAAGGATACTCAAGGCACGGGGTGCGATGCCCGCCTTTGGGGCAAGAGCGTCCTGTAGCTGCACTTCAATGTACCTTCCCTTCAGCATCCTGGGATTGCATTGTGATAGAGACCGGACTTTGACAGAGTCAGAGGGTGTGTTTCGATCTGTCGATGAAGGTTGAAACTGATGGATAGAAGAACTAGAAAGTAGCTGTAGAAAGGGCTAATATCGCGTGTACGTCACTTTGTGCCATGACCTTCGAGATCTTTGATTAGTCGGCTCTAGCTTACTAGTAGAGAAAGGTCTTCAGTGGATAAAACTATTGTAGCAGTTGAGAGGTGAATATAGGGAGACCTTATCCTCTTTATCACATACGCTTTACACTCAATAGATAATATATACCCTAAACGATACATAGGATACGAACACAAAGCAGAGCTAGTATAAGCACACGAATGAAACAAGGCAGCATATACCTTGGAAAGTAAACATCCAAACCATAGAAGTGCAAACAAAAAAAATGCACACACCAAGGGAACTCAAATCTCGACCTAAGTCAATATGGTGGTAAAGATACGAATATATCGTAAATATGTAAGTACAATACACCATCCCATAATACCGGCCCGGCAGATCTAATCCACCCGAGGAATGCACTAACCCCAAACAAGAAAACCTCTTGCTAAGCCTTCCCGATGACATCATCACCAGTTGACCCGTGATGATGGTATAAAGATTATAAAGCCTAATCCACCCCCTCCAGGCAACCTGAATCAACTTTCTATCCTAATCCATCATTCTATGCGTTTTGCTCCTCGATTACCCTCCGAACTAGGAAAACTATCAAATCAACACACACTATCTCTATATCATACCAGAAAATTCCATTCCACCATGCCTCTAGTCGTCCCCGAGGTTAATTCTGGCGATAAGAACGAATGGCTCAACAAGCTGGCCGGAAAGACGATCACGGAGGGAACGAGTGATGTTACTGTTTGTTTTTCTTTCCTTTTCATTTGGGAAATATGGTTTGTGAGTATTAGGCTAATTTCGGGTGTCGGTAGTCATTTGCGAAGAAGGATTTACCCGAGTCTCATCGGATTCTTAAACCTGGCGACATGAGGACGATGGATTATAAACCTGAACGGTATGTTCTTGTATCCAGGTTGTTATTTTCTGTAGAAAGGATATGGACTGATGTGGCTTGTATAGGTTGAACGTACACTTGGATGACAAGGGAACTGTTCATGATGTTAACTTCGGTTAAGGCTATGATTGTCTATGATAATGTATAAGTATGACTGTGGATGATGAATGCTAGACGAAAACTGTGCATGGATAGATTCATCTGCGATGAGCCGCAGCTATGTATGACGGATATTGATATGGAGATGGTACAAATGTAATGAATTCATCTAGTCTATTTCTATTATGATGGAAACACAGCTGGTGTCTACCAGAGACACTTAAGCCTTCCATCTCAGAAGGGTAAGAGAGTGCTTAGGGAATGCGTAGGGGCCCTGTCCGTCCCAGGTGCTCTCAACCACGGCAACTTCTTCCTTGCCCTTCATGTTGGTTGCTGCGACATTGTCACCAGTGACAGTGAACACAGTAACTTCTCCCGAGGCACCGTCGATCCTTGTTTCAATAGCCTTCTCCTCGTGAATGTTGACAACAGCAACGTTGACGTAGCCATCCTCCCCCAGGACAGCACTGACGTCCAGCCAGGGGGTCTCCTTGACACCACGAATCCACTTGGGAGAGGTTTCGCCCTCGTAGGTTGCGCTGGCGAGATGCGCGCTGATTGTCCAGCCCCGCATGTACTTAGAGAACAGGTACAGAGGCCACCAGGTGGTCTGCTTGGTGATACCCTCCTTGGTTGTCATGAGCGGGGAGATAACATTGACGGTCTGCGCAATGCATGCCATGCCCAGGTCCTTGCTCTTACGGACGAAGACATTGAGCCAGACAGCCACAGCCAGCGCATCAGAAAGCGTGTAGCATTCCTCTGCACCCTTGCTGCCTTCGGCACGGATGGGGTCCCAAACGTTCCACTCATCAAAGCAGATGGTTGGGCGGGTTTGCTCTGGAGGAACACCGTTCTCGATCCTGGCGAGATCGATCAAGGAGGATGTGATCTCAATAGCACGCTCAGCAGCTAGAGGGGCGGTGGCATTGGGCAGATGAGATGATGAGCAGGTGTACAGATGAATGCTGTGCATGTCAATGAGGGGGACAGCACTGGTAGAGAGGGGTGAATTGACGGGAAGCAAACAATGCTTCAAGGTATAGTAGTCCCATGATGCTGTACCATCCTGTCCACAGAGGATCAGAACTAAGCTAGGATCGAGAAGCTTAAGAGCTATGGGACCTGATTAGTACTTTTGGTCATAGCGGCAGTTGGAAATTGATATTTACCCTTCGCCCATTGATAGGCCTTGTGAGAGTATGCCTCCTTGGTCATCTGCTCTACTTGCCACGGTCCCCAGGTCTCGTTTCCGAGAGCCCAGTATTTAACCTGTATGTGTGATGTCAGCCAAGTGATATGTTTAGCATGAAAAAGGCGCATACGTTGTAAGGCTCTTGGCGACCATTCTTCCGGCGGAGGTTTGCATAGTACGTGTTTCCGGTACCATTGCAATACTCAACCCATGCCAGTGCTATAGAAAGCTGGTTAGTTTTACAAGGCTTTGGTAATTAGGGTTTAGATGAAAGCCTACCCTCATCAAGAGTACCTGTTCCGAAGTTCAGGCAAAAGTATGGCTCCGTTCCAAGAACTTCACACCACTTGAGGAACTCGTCAGTTCCGAACTGGTTCGTCTCTGTACCTAGCCAAGCCAGCTCGGGCCTTTAAACAGTCAGAATTTGCGTTCAAAGCTTTCTAGTGGCCAAGGTACCCTTCGGAAAAAGGTAGATGTTGCTCGAGGACACCACAAGAGGAAGGTTAACACAAGGTTCATCATCATAAAACATACCGTGCAGGACGCTGGTCTTTAGGACCAACACCGTCGATCCAGTGATACGTTGCCATAAAGTTGCCGCCGGGGTAGCGAACAACGGGAATGTCGAGGGTCTTCAGAGCTTCAAGGACATCTTTCCTGAAGCCGTTCTCATCTGACAAGGGATTACCTGGGTCGTAGATGCCGCCATAGATGCATCGGCCCATGTGCCTGCGATCATGCATGAGCTTAATTCCTTCGACACTCTAGTACCAGATAGGATAAATGAAATAATCCAAGCTTACTCTGTGAACCCCGCATAGATGTTGGGATTGATCTTGGAAATACGCCGGGATGGGTGGATGGCAATACTCGGCGTATCCTGATCGCTAAGTTTCGTGAACGTAGTCATTATTGCGGCCGTTAAAATATCATAAATTGAACAGTAAAGTGGTAAATTGAGTTGCCCGAGTTATTGATTGGTAGGAAAAAGAGGGAAGATGGTGCTAGACTAAGTACTCTTCCAAGGTCCGTGGCGGAAGCAGCTGGGCAGCGCCAACTAATTAATGTGGACTGAACATGCATCGTAGCTATCATAATAGAAGGGGAAAATCTCCTGCGGGGTTGTTCCAGACCACGAAGAAAATTGGCATGAATCATGGGTAGAAAGTGTAGGCGATGCTTGGGAACGGCGCCGTCGTCTTGGTTTTGAAGCCGAGGCAACGCCACGAGATCTTCCATCAATCAGGGCTCGCGCTTGCACGAGTATCTCGCGATCCCGAAAGCCACACCACGACGGCCCCCCGCAAACGGTCAAGCGCCAATTGAATCCTTTCTCATGGAGTTGGGATTTTGATTCGCCGTGAAGCTCTTGCTGCTATATGGTATGTTCCTTCATTGGTGTGGAATCCGGGAATTATCGACACGCTATGGCGCCTTTTACCATGCTTTTGGGAAAGAGCTCCGGAATCCCACCACGAGACACTATGGACCACGATCCCATAGCTTGTTGTCATGGGCTCCGGAGCCTTAGTGTTGGATGTGGGCATCCGATCCCCAGAAGTTCTTAAAGGCCTGCGGAACCCCATACCCCAGGGAAATCCCCGCATCTGGTCCACCGGTCTACCTATTGAGTTTGCTCTCAGGGCATAGTGGGCAGTTAGGTTGTTTGAGATTGGATATTGAGATCACCATGCGTCTCTCTCCGGCATGGTACCAGGTGAGTATCGATGTTAACGAAGGGATAGCTTAGGGAATTGCTGATCCATTACACAGTTTCTGGTGGGCGTTTTCGCCTCGCTGGGTTCGTTCCTTTATGGATGTGAGTGACAGAGCACTACTATGCTATCAAGAACTTACTAACTGCTACGACTATAGACGATTTGGGTGTGATTGCGGAGGTTATTGCCAGTCATTCGTTCGAAGACAAGTTCGCAGCAAATGATACCCAGACGTAAGTCTCTACGCCAGGTGCGGCAGAGATAATACTGTATTGAATAGGCTTACTGACTGTCTACTAGCGGATTGGTAGTGTCTATGTTCACGGCAGGTGCCTTCTTCGGCTCAGCATTTGCGGGTCCCAGCGGTGATATTCTCGGCAGAAGGAAGACGATCTCCCTCGGTTGCGTGATCTTTTGTCTTGGTGGAGGGCTTCAGACTGGAGCACGGACAGTCGCATACTTATACAGTGGAAGATTCCTGGCCGGACTTGGGTAAGCCTCAGAGATACCAAAAATGAGGACGAAGATTAATCTCTGCCTAGTGTCGGATTCCTTACCATGATCATCCCGCTATACCAGGCTGAGATCTGCCATCCCGACATTCGAGGTCGAGTGACATCGCTGCAGCAATTCATGCTGGGTGTTGGTTCTCTGTGCGCTGCATGGATCTCATATGGCACGTATATTGGATTTGACCCAACAAACAATGCTCAGTGGCAGGTCCCACTTGGTTTACAAGTGGTCCCCGCCGTGTTTTTGGGTCTCTTGATCATGTTCTTCCCAGAGGTGAGTGCATCCAGATGCTGTCACAGTTGTTGTAGCTAATCCTAGAATAGTCGCCGCGTTGGCTCATCGACCATGGCCAACATGAAAAGGGTCTGCAGACGCTTGCGAAGCTTCACGCGCATGGGGATGAGAATGACCCGTGGGTCCGTGCTGAATACAACCAGATCCAGGAGAGTATTACATTTGAGCATGAGAATGAAGCCAAGTCATACTTGGAGTTGTTTAGCTCTCGGTCATCGTTCCGCCGTCTGTTCCTTTGCTGCGCGTTGCAGGCATCAGTGCAGATGACGGGAGTGTCAGCCATCCAGTAAGTGCCAATGGAAGGCCTCTTAACCCGGACATTTCGAAAAATTGAAAGAAAAGCCCCGGTGTCTTTCGGGACATAGGCTAATAATCTTCACTTTTGGCAGGTACTATTCTGTAACAATCTATGAGCAAATCGGGATCAAGGGAGACGAAACGCTGCGTTACCAGGCAATCAATTCCGTTATTGCCTTGGTAGCCCAGTTCCTCTGTATGATGTTCATTGACCGCTTCGGTAGACGGCGGAGCCTGATCTTTGGAAATTTGGGTAACTGTGTCACTTTCATCATCGCATGCATCCTGCTCGCAAAATTCCCTCCCGAGGTCAACAACACAGGGGCTCACTGGGGCTTCATCATCATGACCTGGTTGTATAATTTCTCTTTCTCTTGCACCTGTGGTCCTCTGTCATGGATCATTCCGGCAGAAGTTTTCGATACGCGAACTCGGTCGAAGGGTGTTTCCATTGCTACTATGACATCTTATGCATTCAACACCATGATTGGCCAAGTGACACCAATTGCGATGGAGAATGTCCGCTACCGGTATTACTTCCTCTTCATCATCTGCAACTTCACCAACGCAATCTTCTTCTGGTTGCTGCTGCCTGAGACGAAGAAGTTGCCGCTTGAAGAGATGAACTACTTGTTCTCCAACTCCCCATGGATTGTGCTAGGAACAAAGAAGGAGGATTATCTTCCTCATGACCTTGAGCACAAAGTTCAGGAGCAAGAGGTGAAGCAAGAGGTTTATGCACAACACAAGGAGTGAACCTGTGATGGATGAAGAGAATACAAGGTGTTGCTAGTTGAAAGATAAGCTGGACGAAGGACGATTTCCCCATAAGTAGGATAGAGCACAAGCGTTGGGTTGTTGCGTTGATATTTCAAAATATAATCTCTCATACATGTTGTATACAGTTTGGGACAAGATAATGATGTTGGTTTCCGAAGTTCGCTGGCTCCCGTGTATTGTAAATGAATCGAGAATCATCAAATATTCTGCGAGTTAGTCCTTTGGATGCTTTTGAAACAACTGAAACACTATGCCTTCTGATTGCCAATGTCACACTCTATCATAACCTTGGTTGTAGAGTGTCCGTGATAACTGGCAAGACATGTTCAAAGTTCAATGATCCAGTCGATACCGCAACGTGAATCATGTACTGTAAGCGTTTAACGGAGGCAAGGCCAAGCAATGAATGAGTGCGATACGCGGCCCCTGCGAAATCGAAATTACAATTACTCAGAGTCGGAACTGTAGCCGGACAGGCCAAGAGATATCGAAGCTGGCTTGGGCGCCTGCTTCTTCTCAATCTCCTTCACATCATTGGCCTGTACGGGGCTAGCAGAAGTTGCAGTGTTCACAGGTGGCTGTGACTTAACTTTAGCAGCATCAGCCGGAGCCGGAACAGACTGCTTTTCATCCTTTCCGGAATCTTTGTCCTTTTGATCCACCTTCTGCTCCCCAGTCGACAGAGTCTCTTCCGCACCTTCAGCGGTAGACTTGCGCTTCTTCCCAGGAAGCAAAAGATCCTTCTTATCCCTCCTCCGCTTACGCGCAGGGATCTTCCAATCCTCCCCCTCAGCAGCGGGAGTAACATCCGCAGTGCCCTCCTCAAGTGCAACCTTTTCCGCCTCCTCCCGGTGTCGCCGGAAAGCCTCAAGCTGCTCAGCAGTTTCCTTCTTCACAGCGGCCTCCTGCGCGCGGGTCGACTCCATAATCGAATCCAGGAACTCGACCTCATCCTCGTCAAGCGAACGGAACTGATTCTTCAATTTAATTTTCTCCTCAAAGGCTTCCTGTTTGGCCACTTTTTCATCGCAGAGGAACAATCACCCCTAACATGTCAATCCAAACGAATATCCCTGATCCGCGCAACCTGGGCCCGCTCAGGATACCGGGGACTCACTTTTGTTCTGCTGTAGCACTTCGTAGAGACTTTTGCCATCGGCTTGCTTGCCTAGTTCTGCCTTGCGCCGCCGTTCTTCCTCCAGTTCTTGTTGGGCGCGGAGCCATTCATCGTCGCGTTCTACCGGCTCTTGGTCTGTTCCGGCTGATACGAATCCGGAGGACATTTTGGTGATGAGGGGAGGTGTGCGATTGGTTTTCTGTGAGATATGAGGGTGCGCCTTTGTGGTTTTATGGATATCAGTCGCGTTCCTAAAGCTCTGTGAGACTGATTGATCGAGTCAATTTGCTGGATGAAAGCAATGGTGAAAAATAATCGCAATATAGGACGGCATCGTCATGTTCTGGATGCGGTACTGGATCTTGAAGGGCAGAAATAGGCGGTAAGTACGGCCACTTCTACGAATTACTTTTGGCCTGAGGCATTTACAATATTGCCTAAGGGCTATTTCTATGATAAAAAAGTCAACTTGAAACATGCTCGGAAATTTGAGGCTTTGGATGGAAATTTCATTTGCTAAATTAAAATGTACCTGCCATAAGCCATCGCTGACCTAGACCCGAATATGAACGCCTCTTCCCAGAATTCATCGTTATCCAAGAATGAATCCTCTTGATTAATATTAATCTTTCGCCAGATGGAAGCTCGACTTATGCAAATGTATAAATAAAGTAGCACATCGCCACTCAAGCTTACTTGGTTTCAGACTTCGTTTCCTCTGCAAGCTTCTCCGCTTTCTTCACTTTCTCGGACAAAACTCCTTGGAGGTCATCAATAGTTTCCTTGAGAAGCTTCTCAGCCTCGGGGCCCTTCTTCTCTGCAGCATTCTGAAGGGACTGCAGCTGCGAAAGAATTTGAGAACCTCCGGGAACCATGTTTGACAGTTTATCCAGATTGCCGAATCCGCTCTCCTTGGCGCTCTCCTTGGCTTGACCGGCGAGATCCTTGACGTACTTTTCCAAGTCTTCGGTGTTTCCAGAGGAGGAACTCTCCTTGATCATGTCCCAGACCTTCGCATAGTTGCCCTTCTTCAAGGCATCCGTGTTCTTCTCAACGAACTCTTTGATCTTCGGACTCTTCTCAAGGTAAGGCCGGGCCTCATCGAGACCACGCTTCCAAGCCTCATCACCGAGCTTCCGAAGCTTCTCCTCCTTCTCCTTAGTCACCTTCTGGATCTTCTCGACAGTATCAAAACTGATACCAGCAGAGACAATATCCTTAACTTGCTTCCAAGTCTTGTCAACCTCCTCCTGAGCCTGAGGACCATAGGCACTACCCATCTCCTTTAGCCGGTCAAAGCTACCCCCAAACTTCTCTTTAAGCTCGGGGTGATTATTCAAAATATCCTCCGCAGAATCCCCAGCCAGCTCGTACAACCTCTTAAAGTGCTTCTCCAGCACATCCCGTACCTTGATCGCGGTATCCACATCAAATTTACCCTTCTTTGAGACATCGCGCAAGTCATTGTACGCATCGCGGACAATCTCATCGAACTCCTTCCCCTGGTTACGTCTGATGGTTTCTAGGTCATCAAACGCCGTATCGACATAGCTTTTCGCACCGGGGATAAACGACGCATAACTCTTGGCCGTGTCTCTCAACCACCCGAACGCCTCATCCGGCTCGGGGGTCTTCTGGGCGACCTTCTTCTTGGCCTCCTTGAAATACGCTTCTGTTTGGTTTGCAGTCTGAACGATCGTCTTCGCCCCGGAGAATTGGTACCAGACGTATCCTGCAAGGAATGTGACGGCACCACCGGCGATACCGCCAACTACAGCTGGGGAAGTCCCCGACGAGCCTGATTCAGTGGAGGTGGAGTAGCGACAGCGCGCATTGCGGAGGGGGGTTCTTGTTTGGCGGTAGAGTTGCTGTCTTGTGCAGCTTGTTGCGAATCTGGAGCTTCGACTCAACATCTTGGTAAGTTATGATAATAAGGAGGCAGTAGGTCAAGCGGAGTAATTGAAAGAAGGTAAACAGAGACTCTATAATGCAATTGACAGTACAATACAGATTTCGATCACCCCCAGAGCAAACGTGAGTATTTATAAGTAAACAAAAAAAAAAAAATTCGTTTGCGTATACAAGTGCAGTCCATTGCGTCATGGTGACGGGTAAGCTGGTCCCTGGTTTCTTCAGCGGATGAAGCCAAGCCCAAGGTAGATGCTGCCCCCACTGGATTAGAACATTTTCGGGTCCGAGTGATGAACTCCCAAGGGAAAGTATCGTGGGAGGAATATTTTGGGCGGTTCTGGCCGGGGTTTCGTTTCTCAATTGCATTTTGGGGACACGGTCAGATGACGTCATGTGATGATGATGGTATCCTTGTCGCACGTGGTGGGGAGAATGGTGAGTTCGATCAAACACTTTGTGTGTCATACTATGTGCTTACTAGTTGTTGGATGTATTGATGCCCTTATTACATTTCTGAGTCCTGGTTAGCGGTAATGTGTAGATCGTCTGTCCTCGTAATGATCAAGTATCACGTCACTGTTTATCGGCAAGTATAGGGACAATATAGCTTTTGGTACACACTTCCAACATGTGCAAATAGATCTTAGCACACTAGATTCAGACGGGAGTATGAGCTTCCTCTCAGAGTGACGTTTCAAGGATTATGTCAACAATGTTATTGTTGATTGCGAACATGTACCTACAATTCCAGTATGTGGTGATGCTCGAAGAAAAGAACCCGGGAAAAAAGATAAATAAAATAAATAAAATAAATAAAATAAATAAAATAAATAAAATAAATAAAATAAATAAAATAAATAAAATAAATAAAATAAATAAATCAATGAACATGAGTTCCAGTCTATATCAATAACAAAAGGTGCGAAGCAAATATATCCAAGAAGCAGACTACCGAGAAACGAACAACCGAACCATATCAACTCCGACTTGAGTGCATGGATGGATCAACCATCTTGTCCCTAACTAATCAAACAGTAGCAGCGATGTCCTGTGAACCATTCCGAGTTTCAGTAACTAGATGGTAGCAACCGTCAGCTTCAAGGTTTACCTATACTATCGAGCTCGGGTGTGCTGTGATAGATCTGTACTCACTTGCGGTAACGCCCAGCATTACTGGATTGGTAATTTCTAGCAACCATTTGGCTACTAGGGCCTCTGGCATCCTCTCTGAACCGTTGGTTGCGGTCACTCGAGGTCTACAACATTGCAGGTCAGTTGTAATCTTCATAGCAGCGTGAAAACCTGCGAGATTCATGGAGATTGATACATACCGAACTGTAAGCTTCCTCGCAAGGGACATAGACGGTTTCGCCGATATTCACGTATTGGTCGTTCATTGGTTCCCCGGTTTCGGCGTCGCATCGGACAATACGGACCATAGAATCGTTAAATTCGGAAGGCTGGATGGCTATAATCTCACAATTGTAGCCTTGGAGGAAGACATGTCCACCAGCTTTCAGGTCACAACATTGTGTGGGGACGGCCATCTCCTTCCGGCCGCCGCTTGCGAAGGCCGTGGCGACTTGCTTGCGGCTTTCCTGGCGAGGATTGGAATAGTAGGACATGGTGAGATAGAGTGAGAAAGAGGCACAGAATGGAGAGGAACTTTGAGAGAAATGAAGTCTTGATGATAGTGTTGTTTGAGTGAATGAATGATGGGAAACCGAGAAAAGTGCGAATGACACCCCTTCTTATACTACTCGAGCTAAGGCAGAAAAAACGTGTATAAGGCCAGTAAAACACGGGGATAGTGGGTTTTTGCAATGCAATGCTAGAAGGATTCTTCATTCGTTGCATAATCATCCTAGGGCTATGGTGAGCAACTTGGCGAAGTTCATTGGACATAGAATGGATGAGTCCCCCCGTCAAACCACTACTGATTCGTTATTCGACTGACCACGCCCATAACCCCAGACTCTAATGTGCCGCGCTCAGGCTGTGCCCGTTACACGTTTACTTTTCAAACATGCCAGCGATGGATGCATTGTCTGATCGACTGTCAATCATGGCTGAGAACACACCAGGTGGATCCCAATCTCGTGGGTGGAAAACACGTGGGCCACAGGCCTTCGCCTTCTGTCGTTATTTTGTATTGCTCTATCCGGCATGCTCAGCTTCACCAGTCAGTCTAGAACGAAAGCAAGTAGTGGCCTAAATTCCTAGTGTAGATGGGCGCCAAGATCGCGGAAATATTCGTAACGATTGGCAGCCCTATCCAGCGCATCGTTGCCATCATTGGCTAGCGCACGACACTTCACCGTAATTTCATGACACTTCATAAAAAGTCTGCGGCTGTTGCCACAATGCTGCGCCTCTACCGCGAATTAATGCCCGATATGATTGTTTTCGCGTGTTTGAAGGAGGGACTAGGGGACTTTGCAATCTCTACAGTGTTCCTCATAATATCCACCCTGACCACGTGGACGAATGTGGAGGACGGAGGAAAAGGAACCAAACGGAAAAGGGCGAGGGGCAACAAAGCTGAACGCCTTAGAAAGCGAAAGTGGATAAGAACAGCAGTTCGTCAATCGTGTCAAAGATCCACTCTTCTAAACAATTGCCCAATGCAGTTTGCCTTCGCTACCTTGTTCTTCCGCAATGGCGAAATTACTCCTATCCACCCACGTTCGCACTGTTGGATGTAAGCGAGCCCTACTCTCAACCAAGTGAATGAGTCACCGCTCCTTTTTCCGCCCGACATTTACGCCGCAACAAGGCGAATTGTAGTAATTGGCCGTAGTGTAAGGAGTTTAGCATGGAACCTGAGAAATATCGGCAATGGTAGTTTCAGCAGAGGTACAGTTTTGAGGCCTAAAGCTGCCTTAGCATATAGGCTGTCGGCGGCCTCTTCAGACCATGTCTCCCGCCTTCCCTTTCATGCGGATCGCAGAGTTGCGGAGAAAATGGAAAGGGAAAAGGGAAACACCAAATTAGCTACCGCCGTTCATGTGGTAGTCAGCCCGGCTCATGGAGATACTTCTAGCGCGGGGTGTCTATAAGGAATGGAGGGGAAAGATAGCACTCTGAATGAAATTCAACGAGGAAAAGCGGTAGTATCAACAGTCTGTCAGTAACTAAATAGACCGGTAGCGTATCTCTCAGCTCATCTTATTCTGGCTATAGCACCTAAGAGAATCGCCAACACCTGAAAGACATGCAGTTATGGATGGGTATAACAGGTTGACGGCCCTTCGCACGCTCATATTGTACACTGAGGGACCTGGCCATTGGGTATGTCGTTGATTTGCTAGCTGTCACTAGTATCAATCCCTTCTGGTATTACCAATTCCACAACAGGGTTATGCTCATTCTCTTCTCCAAGCCCACCAGGTTTCTTGCCTTCCACAAAGGCTTCTAGATAAGCCTTTATCATCAGGAAAGCGTAGCAGTAATTCTGGACGCCCCACAACCCGTAAACAGCCCAACCGTGGGAGTCACTCTAGCTGCTCAATGCTTCAATGCCAAGTAGTAGGAGTGGTTTACCTGGTTTCCGGAGCGCAGTATACCTCGGTACCCTATGATTGATTCTTGCTGCCATGAGCGACAGATAAGCCTCATGCAGCTTGTCCAACATAAGTAGCTCTAGGACATCGATATGGTCCGCATCCGTCAAGATCTCAGAAATTACCTCCATCCTGCCTTGCACACTGGTCTTGTTTATTCTGGGTCGAATTGTCGGTCCACTATCGAAATGGAAATTTAGTCTCCGGATATACCGTCTTCGTTGTGCACAGATCCCAGCCAGCCAGCTGACAGTTGTATTGATGTTTCCTGCTATTGCGAAGAATGTCTTTGAGTAAAATAGCGGCATTGCTTCCTCGTAGACCTCTTTGCAAGTCGCTAAGATGGCGAGCAAATAGACTCCGGCTGTATATCTGGTGTCGGCCCCGCCCTACTCCGTCATACATACTGCGGGTTTGGTAGTCTGTTATATGTGGGGTTGAAACAGGAAAATAGCAGACCACAAAGTCATTGAGCCACGGCGAGAGGGGCCGGCCAAGGACGAGTCGTGTAGTTGGGGAGATTCCAAACAGATGACTATAGATTTCAAGCCGTAATTCGGTAGGTAACTAAAGCAACGGAGATGACATTGTGGGAGAGTTGACTATTCGTAAGCATGAGAGTGGTGCAAATGTTGAGGGTATTTGTGAAGTTATAAACGTATATTCAGCTTGCAGGGTCTTTCCATTCCCGGCTTTGTAGCTGTGTTTGCTTTCTTAGGTTCATTTGTATATTTACTGAGCAAACCTCAACGACCAACAGCGGTCGTGTTGCAAGAGCAAGGACAATCAGCCATTGAACATTAGTTAAGAGCAGCAGTGAATTTTGTAGACACCAATCTGATTTACCAAGTTGAAGTTAGCGCTGTATCTTTCGACAAGTGGTTGACACACGCGCAGCAGAGCGTTTTGACAACTCGGCTTTGTTTTGTTTTCCCTTTCCCCCCCCCTATTTGCTCTTCCCAGTCGTAACATCTTTAGAGGACAAAAGTCATTGACAGTGTCAGGTATAGAATATAAAGCGCCCTGATCTATCCAAGTCGTGCGATGTCAATCATTGCCCCAATGGACTATTCTTAGTGTATCAAGAGATCGTAAAGTAGCCCGAAGTAGGAAAGATCTATGAGCGATAGTACAGACAAGCAGAGCAAAATCAAATGGATATCAATAACAGCATATATCAACAATTATCGCTCAGAAAAAGTGGCAAGAATCCTCCCACAGGTGGTCGTAATCACTCCAAATCCGCATCAAGCATTATATCATCAAGACACACGTATATTCGGATCAACCGTTGACCCCACACCTTTGTGGTATCAACCGATGCAACTTGGCCCTAAAGCCCCCCGTTAATCCTCCATTGTCGTCAATCTCAACCGGGTAAAATGACGTACATCATCAAACCACATTACATCACTGTGCAAATGCAGCAATCGCACTCTTCATCGCCACAGTCACAGCCGAAGCACGGTTTTTGGACGGATTTGATGGGTTTCTTAATGGAGGATCCGGAGCTGGAGGACGGAAGGATGAAGTTCACCGGAGATGAGATGGAAGAGGCGCCCATTTTGACTGATTGTTTTTACCGTGGATGGGCGATGCAGGTTTTTATTAGGGGACAGAAGAGAAGGCTTGAGGTTTTCAAGAATTAGTAAAGAATGCGACAATGAGCAGTTCAGGGCAACCCTAATAGTAGTGGACAACTCACCTTTTTATATGCACAACTAAACTGGAAAGAATACAAGAGTCGGTCTGAAACCAAGCGACGTCAGCGTCAGGCAGCCGAGTTTAAGCCACGCGCTAAAATTGGAACTAAGAGGTGGGCCAAGACTTCAGGATCCACTTTGAGAACTTCCCCGGAGTGACCTCGTTCTACCGAGGCGGAAAGTAGCAGTACAGAATTTGAGCTTATCATGTGCTGTGCTCGCAGTTACCCTTAGCAATACGTAAGGTCAAAACAAAGGTGGTCATTTAGCCCCTGATAATCCTGGAGTCAGCCCTACGTCAAAGCTTGAATTATTTCGAAGGCTTATCTTTGCTGCCTAGAGCCTAGATGAGACCATTTATTGGACCTACAGTTGCGCTATTTGGACCCTAACAGCGCTAGCAAAATACTACTAGAGTAATAGTCCCAGCTTTGTGGCGCATGCTCTTTGAGCCGATGGGATGCATGCTACGTGCTTAAGCGTAAGCTAGAAAGTACGAGTTCCCAGAAGAGCTCTTCGTGATGGGCTCTCATGGATCAGCAGTGGTTCTAATATGGCACAGACGTGGCGGTGTTAGAGATACCTGATTTGAATTCAGGGCGGCGCAGCATGTCTTAGCGTCCTTCGATCGACAATGGTTTGCAGAATAGACGCAGAACTTCCCACTGAGCTCTTTCCTGACTATGTAGATAAGCTTTTGACGCGGCTCAATTGAGTTTCGCTTCTCAAGCAATAAGAAGTATAGCCATAACTCCATTGCCCTCTCAGACCATTCGATAAGCCTTATACTTTCTAATCAAAGCAGATGTATCCTAGTCCTCTTTCTTCTATGAATGCTGATCTCCAAAAGGTATGTACCAAGAAATGGTTTTGGAATGGCAAGTTCACACGGGATCCTCGGCCACTGTTCTGAAGTGTTACCACACGCACGCAACCTGCGTCAGCTCAGTAAACTATGCAAACCTAGGCCTTCACTGTTCACCTGAGGTCAACCACCGCCACCTCAGGCCTAACATCCTGAGCCTCAGGCAAATAAACCAAGGTCTATTTGGCTAAACAACGACAAAAGTCTCTCGCCACAGCGAACCCGATGGCCTACTGGTCCTAGGGACTCCAGCTGACCTTTGAAACGCTCAGTGTGGTTCTCTATATGGGTCCACCCGTTCGAATCTCACCGTCCACGCGGGATATCGAAGGCCTTTTAAAGAAGTCTTCAATTGAGTGTAACCCTGAAAAGGGAGAGGGGACCTGGTTACCCTCGCGAAGCACGAAGACGATGTTGGTAGTACTGGAGCGAGAGTAGCTGTGGTAGAGCACACAGGTCACGCTATCGCATCTTAGTTTTGCTATTCGAAAATCCTTCTCGTAGAGAAAGTGAAGCTATACCAGTCCATTAGGTCTGTATTGCGCTTTCATCATAGTGGAGAACTGCGTTGCTGGTAGCTCCCCTTCCTTTTCAGACTCCTCCATGCCTTCCTAACTGATCAATTGAAACTATACAAGAATTACAACCCTTAACTGTCTATCTACTCCTTTTCATTGAAGTTGGAGTCAGATCTTGCTGCCAACAGAGTCTCTCGTAAATCTCTCTATCTTTCATCACCTTCCTAAAATAGAAGTCCCTCATCTACACCTGGGCAGCTGTATTTTCTTCAGGAAACAGAGAAGCCATCCACAGCCACACTAAAGGCAATGTCCCCGTTGTCTCCTGTAGTCCAATGCCGCCCCATCAAATTCCACTCACCCCTGGCATTCACGGTCACTTCCTACATCCGACACTCTTGAAGCTATATACAGCTACCCCTTCTTTCCTACCCATGCCTTCTCTTCCTAGGACTTTACCGAGTAATCTATTGCTGTTATACTACACATTCAATTGTGTGATAAGGTCCACCACTTCTACGTCGCATATAAGCTACTTCAATCTTTAAAAGAAAATAATTCTCGACATCAGAACCCTCTTCAATGCAACCAATGTCAATTTCTTTTAGCTCATGTCTAGACTTAGATCAGTATTCCTACTTGCGGATTTACTCGCATTGTGCAATATAGCGACCCTTGTATTCGACACGCTCGTCGTGCTGTGACTGTCATCCTGTTGGTCAAGTGAGTTTGGATATTCTGCCCCCTGTATCTTACATTCGCACTATCCCCGATCACGAGATGGCTCACCCTGCTATTCGTATCGAAGACAGCGAATGGTTCATACCTCATTGTATACTCCCATTCCTATATATTCTGTCCACATAAAGTTACACTTAAGGCTCCGTGTTGGGTTTTCACTATACATGCTGTAGGTTTGTGTTACCCTTGAACACCGCAATTCATTCGTCAGAAATATGCTACGACGCGGTTTTGGATTCGTCATGAGAGAAAGACTGCACACTATAAATAATCCAACGTCTGAATTTGATTTATGGTAATCAAAGTATGAACGATGCCAAGCTCTACTACGCTCCACCTGGATCCACCAGAAAGGCAGCTTCAAGAACCAGGGGTCCACCACGACACAAGCAGTGCTCTCGACTACGGGCGCTTCGATGTATAGCGGCTGGGTTAAATATCTGAATCTATTTGAAAGGCTTTCCTTAACATATAAGGTGAAGCCCCATCCCCTCGAAAACAGGAACTCTATAAGAGAACTGGTCATACATTTCGAATGTCAAATAATCTTAAACCAGAAGTTGGATGATCTAGCTACTTTCTAACTTTTCAAGCCATACTCTTACATCAATATTGCGATTCTCATTGACCTAGTCACCCCCGCAAAGAATGGTTCGGTCTCGGATCTCTATAGATATACTTGGAATGAACGCATTATCATGGATTTTAGGCGTCTTCATAATGGCATTGCGTATTTAAATACTTATATTCAGTAGGGATCTCGGGTAATGAAGGATGCGCCGGGTCTTGTAATGTTCCAGTTGCTACCGCCCGTCCCTTGGCTTAACTGAGTGGTAGCCTCAGGCTTGTATACGAAGCCAACGCTTTGAGAAGAGCAACTAAGGAGATACCGATTCCAGTTCTCCCAGTTATAGTCTTCCACTCCTGTTAATTATCATTTGACAAATCGCATACAAACATGGTGGCCTAAGTCTTTCCCCCCCCCACCCAATTGATCTTGTCGGAATATAAAATCCAACGATGTGTATTGATATTGGCGACAACCAGGAACCAATACTACCTAAGCCCGGGAGTTTGGATGTCCACACGTCTAATTAGCTTTCTACCCTCCAGACGTCAGTCCAGTAGTGTAGGATCTTTCATATGCACACGATAGTGCGTTAGAATAGGAGGTCCAGCGTTGATGCAAAATGGTTCTATCGCATGAGCATACGTAAATAGAAGTCGAGTGGGGGCCTCGAACTTTCCTTTTCAGAAGTGAAAGCAAAACCTAGCAAGCAAAATTCTTTTCTTCTCCCGTTTTCTAGGCTGAAAATAAGTGGGGACGATGTGGAGACTGTCGGATGTGCAGCCGATTGAAAAACGCCAAGATTTCCCTTTTTTTTTTTTTTTTTTTTTTCAACCGTCTTGTAGATTTAGGCTGCCGTAGACTGCACCTTGAATGGTTGCTCTTTTAGGACGTAACTCCCTTTCTTGTAAAAAGTCTGAAATTGAAGAATCATTTGCCTGCACTGTGGTCGCATATGCCAATGATCCTCTGGCCCGACTTCATGAGTTCTATAGTACGCTAGGGGATATTGAGCGCGTGCCATGCAGCCTCAGGGGATCGCCTGGACCCGTCTTCTGCTAAACCTTGCCGTCTATGTCCTAGGCTGTCAAGCCGCATGGGTGCGGAAGTACCACTGTGATTCCTCGCGATCCAGTGTTCCAGGAGAGTCCCCATTCTGGATTGACAGCCTTCGCGGCTCATTTGACACGTTCGATGGCTCGACCTCATTGTCGTTGTCAATCCTCGGTGTCCACAATGAATCGCAGTTTACGTGCAATGACCTCAACCTGACTGGGCTTGACACCGAATTACGCTTTCATGTGCTCGGCTTCCCCGTCGGCAAGGTGGAGCATTATGAGAGCCAATGTCCCCTGCCACCTACTGACCCGTTGATACCGTAAGGACCCTCTATTCTTGTACCTTTTTGTCGTGTCACTTATACCGTTCTTCAGTCCGGAGGGGTTGCTTTTCTCAAAGTATCTATATACGTACTCCTTCGGTAGTACACACCGGCTGCATACCCTCGCCGCTGAGATTGGTTTTAAAACCACTGATGGGCTCGAAATCGACTGTGCGGCGGTGAAGATCACCCCAGACGTTGGGAAAGCCGCCGCTATAGCCTTTACCTATATACCCGCCGCTGTGGTGGTTCTTGTTGCGATCACGTCGTGGCTCAAGCACCAGAATAAGGCGGGGGTGAAATCGGTGGTAGAATCCAGAGCCGCGTGGGCTAACCAGGGCCCTGTATGGGAGATCATCCTCGATATCACCGACTATATACGATACCTTCAGTTCATCTTTCTTGCTGGTTCGCTTACCATAGAATATCCGGGCTTCTACCAGCCAATAGTAAGCCAGGTGGCCTGGTCCTCTCTGTTGTATTGGACAGGCCCTATTGATCATGGTTTTACGTATACAGGAGTAGAGGATGGTATGTATGTTAGCAATGCATCGTATGGGCTCGAGTATATGGTACAGATGCTCGGCTTTCCCCAGATGCCTGATGTCATGCTCGATGCGTTTATCAATCTTTTCATTCTGGTTTCTGGCCTTATCGTGGTTCTACTGATTCTATGCCTGATAACGTCAGGTTCGGGCTACTTGCCTTCGTTAACCGCACTTCTTTGGCAGGGAGGTTATATCCTCCTAGGGGTGACTCTCTCATTCTTCAGTCTCCCTCTTCTGTCCTACATGTCATACGAATTGATCCTGATTGGATACCTTCCCAACTACCGCGTCACTCTAGTCACTTTGGCAATGGCTGCTATAGTTTGCGCGAACTATCTGATCTTCCGTCATTTTGAGCAAAATGATCTGAGCGATACATCGTCTGCGGAAGGCTCTGACCAAGACAGTCCATCAACCGGTCCAAGGAGGCTGCTGCAATACTTGGATTATCTACCGCATGCTATTCCACTAGTACAGGGTATTATAATCGGCGGGCTACAGGACTGGGGCCTGGCACAGCTACTTGTGCTTGTTGGGTTTGAAGTCGTTGTCCTTATCCATACGGCCATACAGCAGCACGCCGGCTTTTTTATATCCAAGACCGCCTGGTGTGCTGCTGTTCGCTTGCTATCTCTCATGCTGAGCCTTGCATTCGTGTGCACCTCGAGTGAGGTGACGAATCAATGGGTCGGCTATGTGATCTTGTGCCTTCATGGCGCAGTAATAATCTTCGGTTTTCTTCTTATCTCGCTCTGGGAGCTATCCCGGGCTACCTTGAAAAGGAATAGTGGAAATAATGATACATTGTCGGAGGACATGATTGTGATGCCGGTAGGTTAGCCCAATTTTTATTACCTATCACGCCTACTTGCAGGAACTAACCCATTATCAGCCTCTGAATCATGACGAGCGTTCCCTTCATCCTCAAGACGCCGATGCCATACTCCGAGCGAAAAGCCCAAACTACAGTCTTAATAAGCCTAGCTTCGACAGCCTGGCCAGCTCCTACCGTTTGGGCTCCGCTGGGATATCCCTTGAACGCCCTAGGGAGAGTGGCAACTCGGCCACACCTTTCTCCTCAACACCTCCCGGTGGGAGGCATTACGTCACGGACTTCTCCAGCTTCTATAGATCCCCGCGCCGCCGGAATGAACCCCTGACAACCAGAAACTTGCACGCTAGCCCAGCATCACGTTCTGTTAGCCCGCCTGTAGGCCCAATACCGAACGAGGACTCATCCCATGACTCTTCGCCGACTCGAAGCTCCCTGGATATACTTGATGAGCTGTTAGAAGTACCCAGCAGACCGGACGTAGATTACTCTGTTAGAGAGTCAGACTTCTACTACGGTAGACCGACTAGCGACTCCACACCGCCGTCGACGCCGTTTTCGTCGGGGAATATGGACGAAGATCAACCCAGCCGACAGACGTTGCACCGCTGGACGCGCAAAATGACATCGCGATTAAAACGTTCCAAGCGGAAGGAGAAAGGCTTTCAGGTAATGCGGCCACCTCGGCCCACATAGCGCGTGATGAATCTTACCAAAAGCAATATGCATGTAGCCTCCAGAATTCTATGAATCTCATGGGTTGTAATGCCTACGGCTAGGTTTCTTTTATAGGTGATAGATGGTTCTACAGATCTTCAAGCCAAGTAATGTCTAGTACTGAGTAGTACTAATTACGGTGACTTTGGATTTTAACTACTTTCCTACTCAGTCGTGGGACTGGTTACATTTTCTGCCTATTCTTTGTCTCTACAGAATTTAATTCAACTAGACTCCAACTCTGCTGGTAATTGTTTCCCTTACCCATGTCCTCTCAAGCGAGGCTCTAGACACAAAAGCACTTTTCTTCCCACCTACCGATTATAGTCTTTTTTTTTATAGCATTATATTACTATTAACGTTTTCAACTTATGATCCTTGAAGTGTTTCAGAGCAGTTAATGAGTATTTAGTAATTACTACTAATATCCAATCTTGGTTGATCAATCTGAGTCAGTGAGTATGGTTGGGGCATCAACTGCGGAACCCCAACAACTTAAATATTTAATGATTAGTTATCATTCCAACACGGGGGAACACGAAGTCTCAAAGCCATCAATCACACTTCTTCTACATATGTTCGCATATCTACACGTTGAATTGTTGAGGAATCAGTACGAAAATTAAGGAATTATTCCTACACATCCCACTCATGAATGCAAACTACTCCCTGTAGATCATTAATAGAATTCGTACAATATAAACCCATACCTCCCACTCAATCAATACTCTAACCAACTCTACCAAATCTAAAATAAACAACATCAAAACTTTCAAATCTATAATATTCATAATATCTATAATCCTAGACTCAAAATGTCCACCCCAAAACTCACCCTCTACTTCGACCTCCTAAGTCCATTCAGCTACGTTGCCTTCCACATTCTCAAAGTCCGTCCCTTACCTACAATCCACGCCCTCATATAGATATATCAACAATCAAACTAACCATAATATAGAACTCCCCTACTTTCACAAAATGCGACATAACCTACACCCCAGTCCTCCTCCGTGAGCTTTTCACCATATGTCAAAATCCACCCCCAATTGCTGTTAAAAGTATATACCTCCCTTCCCTCCCCCATCTTATCATTTCCTATCTCACCCTTCCGTATTCCTAAGTCCACTCGCTCTACCCACCTCCACTATATAAAAAATACAGGATGTATAAAGGATAACCCAAACCAAAACAAAGCTAACAGAAACATAAAGACAAATCAACCTGGCTAAACAAAGAACGACTCTACTGGGCCCGTCGACTAAATCTACCCATGTGTGAAACTCCACCGGCCGGGTTTCCTTTCCCCACGGTTGATGTCCAGAGTATACTAGTTATACTCAGTGAGCGGTATCCCGAGAAGATAGCTATGGTTGTGGAGAGGTTGTATCGGGGGCTCTGGGGAGAGGGGAATGCACATATTGTCACGACTGATGGGTTTATGGGTGTTTTGGAAGAGGTGTTTGGTGTGAGTATTGCCGGGGAGATACTGGAGGCTGTGAGTTCCCTTGTTTTTTTTTACTTTTCTTTTTCGTATCTTTTATCTCTTTTTGCGTATTTCTTATTTGGCTGTTTTTATAATGATCGGTGTTGATGTTTATGGTGATGAATCGCGATGGTGATATTGAGATTGATACTGATACTAATGCTAATGCTAACTGATATATTAGTCAAAAGAACTAGAAACCCAACTCCGTCTAACGGAGAACACCCAGAAAGCATTCGACACAGGAGCATTCGGACTACCGTGGGTCGAGTGTGTGAATGCTCAGAACGAGACAGAGTGTTTCTGGGGCGTGGATCACTTGGAGAGAGTGGTTGAGTTCTTGGGCTTGGAGAAAGTAGATTCATGTTGGGGGGTTGGGTGTATCAACTAAGTAGTAGCTACTATCTCCCCCTTCATTCCTTTGTCTTTCTTTTTCTTTTCGTATTCTGGGTTGTGGTTGTTCTTGTCTTTGTATGATATAAGTACTCCTGAATAATTGAGAATATAGGGCATCACTGATCCCTCCTAAAAGTACACAGTATAGCTGAGTCCCACATCAACCTCAATGATCACTAACTCAATAAAGGGGAAGAAAAAGAGATATTGGTTGAGCTTTATTATGTACGATTTATAATATATGTATCCTCAACCATTTCATATTCTCCCACACAGATCTTACATGTAATTAATTCTACGGATCAGAGCAGAAGATACGAATCGCGGTACCAGCCGGTATTTTCAGACGTGCAGACAGATGATTTCAAAAAAAAAATAAAAATCACTGATTCTAATTATTGGTCAATTTCTATTGGTATTTTAGATACAGCACCACCGGCTTTTCTGGGACTGCTCCTCGTTGACTTATCTACGTATATAATTATGCAGCAGAATTTGAGTCTGCTAAGATAAATTGCTACTGCACGTCGGCAGCAGCCCAGTTATTTGGGGAGGGTCATGGAAAAGATATTAGATTGGAAGACATGGATAGAATAAGAAGTGGTAAAATGTCTGTTTTGTGGAGTATATATACTATCATATTGTAACTTTCACTTAATTTCTGTGTCTATATATAGTATTGCACAGTGTCTATCAGAAGTTGGGTTCGAGATATATTTCAAGTAGATACGTATATTCCTCAGAGGGGATGAATGAGTTAATGATGGGTTTGTGCGAACTTTTAAGGGTTCAGGTGAATTTGTACAAATGCGTATATTCATGAGTCTGGGGGTGATGGGCAAAAAGTCATGCTGTTAGAGTAGAGAGCATCAAGATTGCAATTCAGGGGATCATGGCCACGGTTTCCTTCAAGACTCAGGACTCTCATGGCATACTGCGAAGCTCAACGTTGGCTTATGACCACACAAGGCCTACGGCTCAACGGGAGGCGTTCAAGTACATGCTACGATTTAAAAGGAAACATATAAGACAAGGCAGGTTATAAACATTGATAAATATTTACAACATTTTTGTTCATAAATCATTGCGAAACGAATACATGACTTTTCTATCCGTCTTCGTCACATCATCACGCATAAACAGGGCCGACCCTGATGCGCTCCGGAGGGGTATCTTCTATCAGTCAACCATAAAACCATTTTGTTAACCAGTCTATCCATTAAATATTTGTTGAGTCGTCAAGCCATCAAGTCGGTTGGGCATTTACAGCTGCTCAGCCCAAGGAGCAGCACCGGGCTGCATCTGGTTCAGCCACTTGACAAGCTCGATGAGCTCGGCGCGGCGCTCGTCCTCGAGCTGATCCTCATCACCGCAGAGGACAGACTGGAAGATGGGCAGGAATTGAGGGGTAAGCTCGCGCATGGTGGGGTCTTCCCATTTGTCTGCAGAATAGTTAGCAAAGGGTTCACCATAAACAAGGCTTGGAATACATACACAGCTGGCAGATCATGCGGTACAGAGGGTCGTTCTCCTCGTAGTCGTTCTTCAAAGGGAGGAGCTTGACCAAAGCAGGCAGCACATCCTTGAGGGGAACGCTGTCACGGTGCTTGAGGATCATGCGGCTGAGACAGCCAGTGGCGTTGTCCTGAAGGCGGGAGACGTCCATGTGCAAACAGGCCTCGAGACGGCTGAGGATGGTGGGGAACTCCTTGACAATTTCGGGAGCGGTGGAGTGCTCAACGAGACGGCCAACAGCATAAGCAGCGTTGGAGCGGGTCTGAGGATCCTCATCACCAAGGCGGTGAATCAGTAGCTTCATGAAAGCAGAAGTGTACGGGGTCACAGCGGCACCCATGCCGTTAATGCACTCGGCGAGAACACCGACAGCGGTGGCACGCTCGAGAGACTCGGTGCTGCCGGCGTAACGGATGATGGTCTTCTCGAAGACCTTCCAGAGCTCGGCAAAGCTCTCACCAAGAGCAGCAGCCATACCAGAGACGACGTCGAGACCAGTGTCAACAACGACCCAGTCAAACTCAGAAGTTTCTTCACCGGCATCGAGAGTATCGTCGTCAGGGCTGAACTCAAGTTGGCAAGGGTGCTTCTTAGTGATGATATCGGTGACCATCGTGATGACATTGTGAAGGGTGGTCTCATTGGAAATGAGAGAAGGACCGCAGTAGCGGAGGTTCTCAGCCATGTTGCGGTTGATGTCGGCGACGGTAGCCCTAGGTGATGGTAGGTTAGAATCGAAGCCATCACATAATGTTCATGCAAAACAAAACATAGAAGAATCAAAAGTTCAGATGTGAGATAAATCGTCGTTGACATCAATCACGCTTTTTTGCGTGTCAAAGTGAGCTGGGTAAACGAGGGTGATCATCATTGTAGGTGGCAGGAATGAATAAATTTCAAAGCCTGACCAGAAAAACCAAAAACAAGCAAAAAGACAGTATACGTACCGATCATCTTCCTCAGTCCACATCCGGATGGTGCAGGTCATGAGGATTTCACCGAACTTCTTGACCTCCTTGGCAGGCTCGACCTGGAGAGGCAGGCCAGGCTTCCACTTGGCCATCTGGCCGTTCTCCTCGGCAATGGCGAAGAGCATAGCGTAGGAACGGTGGAGAGTGCTGATAGTGCTCTTGCGAACACCTTCATAAGGGTGCTCAGCAAGGGGCAGGACCGTCTCGATGGTCTTCTCGAAGTAAGGCAAGTAGGAGGACTTGGTGTGGGTAACAAGGTCACCAATAACCTCAACTGCGATTTCCTTCTCAAGCGACAAAGGAGTGGTGGCAGTGATGTCATCCCAGCCATCCTCGTCTTCAAGGTCGACATCTTCAATCTCACCATCCTCACCAACGGGCTCGTCGTCGTCATCAGCACTGGCAACCTTGACCTTGCGGCCACCGACAGTCACCTCCTGGCCAACCAAGTCCTTGGCAGCCTCGCCGAATGAAACTTCAAGATCCGTCTCATCCTGCTCAATACAAGCAAAGAGACCCTTGACAACGCCGTCGAGGAAGGCAGAGAAGTGCTCACCGTAGACCTTAGACATAGCGCCCCAAAAGATGTAAGTGCTCTCCTTAAGGCGGGAGTGGCCAAGGTGCAGGGCCTCTTCGGTTGCGCGCATGAGGGGCTCAACGTAGGGTTGATAACGCTCAGGACCGGCGGCGGCGGCCATCTCGCCCATGGCGTCAGTCACGCTGGCACGCAGGTCGAGCTCCTCCTCACTGTCCTTGACAGTGGCAAACTCTTGGAGCAAGTGCATCGACTCATCAAAGAATGACAGGAAGGAATCACCGGCCGAGGAGGCCAGAGAGCCGAGTGCGCCAGCAGCCAAGCCCTTAATTCTGAAGTCGGGGTGCTTGAAGAGCTTGTGCAAGATAGGAACCAATTCACCCTGGTAAGGAGCAACATCCTTCTCATCAAGGCCGTCGACGACCGCATCGATAGCACTGATGCCGGCCTTCATGATATCAATGGTGGGGCCATCCTCTTCACCCTTGTACTCTTGCATAGCACTGGCGAGGTTCTGGAAGAGCAAGGGCATGAGCCTCTCATGCTCCTGGCTCAGATCCTCAGCTAGGTCGTCGGCAAGACGGGCCACAGCGTGCAACGAGGCCTGACGAACCTTGGGCTCGGGGTCACCCAAGAGCTGGAGAACCATGGGGAAGATCTCCTTCATCTGAGTGCTGATGAAGTCGGGGGCACCCTCAACACACATGCCGAGAGCCATGATACCGGCACGACGATAGTCGGGGTTGGTGTTGTTGAAGTACTGACCCAAAGAGTGCAGGAGGGGGACAACGACCTGGCTAGGAGGCAGGCTCTGAGCCAGCATATCGAGCAGTCCCAGAGCAGAGCGCGCCGGGGTAATGTCATCATCGAGGACGGAGGTATCGCCGAGCTCAGTCACGATGTGCAAAGCAGTGCGAGTGAGTTGCTCACCGACACGCATAGCCTGCACCTTGAGCTTGCGGTACTGGACACACTGCATCAGGAAGCTGATGGCCTGGGTACGGGTGTCCTCCTCAACCTCAGTGTTGGCGGAGATCTCGTTCATGAAGACAACGAGATCCTTGAGGTGCACTGTCAAGAGGGCCGGATCACAGCCCAGGATAGTCTGGAAGACTTCAAAAGCCTGCATCACACGGTCCTCCTGGGTTTGATCGATCGACTCCTTGAGGACAGCGACCATGGAAGGGATCAGCTGCTGGAAAGCCTTCACGGGGCCTACATCCTCCTCCGAGTCAAGGTGCATGGCAAGTCGGCCAAGAGCCAGCAGGGTGTTGGTACGAACTTCCTCACTCTCTGGGTCGGCAATAGTCTTGCCGAACAGGTTGAAGAGATCCTGGAATTTCTCCTCGAATCCTTCACCTAGGGTCTCCAGAATGGTGAAAAGGATGTAGATAGACACGGCACGCTCGTCCTTGTTGCCGGTGCTGCCGGCCTGGATCAAGAAGTTGGGGAGTTCGGCCCATTCGCCATCGTTCAGGTCAACCTTGGCAACAGCCGAGATAACACGGGCGATCGAGTGACGAACGAGAGAAGAACTCTCGCCAAGGGTGGAACGGAGCAGTTGCTCGCGGATCTGAGGCTTCTGGCCGGCCTGCACGGAAACCCAGTGCTTGTTCACCAAGGAGCGAGCCTCGACAGCGGCCAGCTGCTTAAGGTTGGTATCCTCATGACCAGTAGCGATCTGGATGAGGAACACCAGGGAATCCGGCTTGTTATAGAATTCGCGCTGCAGGATGCCTGTTGCTTCCTTCACATTTCCCTGGGTGGCTGGAAATTCTCTGGTCAGCATTCCTCCTTGCTTATGGTTCCATGATTCGTCACTTACGGTTCAGGACGATCTGCAGCTGCTGCAGGAATCTTTGTTGATCCATGATGAATCAAAAAGCACACAACTTTTTTTATGGATGATAAATAAAAACAATTGCGGGGGTTGTCCCAGACCCTCGACGACAATCGAGGTTCCTTTTCACAGGGACTATATGAGCTGTCTGCGCAAAACAGAAAGCTCACAAGGGTATCACAAGTAAAAAAAGAAAAGAAAAAAGGAAAAGAGATGTGAAAACAAGAAGAAAAGAAAAGGAGGGATGAAGAAAGGGAAGAGAGAGG